ATTCCTTGAAGCTGAGGTTTGCAAGGTTATAACTCGCGAAATATGAACATATTGCATAAAATTTAAATTCATTTCTATAAAATGAAGTGTTCTTGTCAAAATCCTAAAATATTGGTAATAAATAATAAGTTTTTTGGAAGCTGTGATGGTGGTAATGTAAAGAAATGGGTGAAAATGTGTTGAAGCCAACGAGTTTTTTTGTGTTCGTTCCCGATTTGTGGCTAAACTACACAACGCACGCACATGTGATCAGTGACTAAGTTGCAGAATACCCCATGGACAATATGGTTCTAATGTATGGTTTTTCGATATAATCACTGCATCCACCCAAAATGGATGCTGGCATTTTGAAGCCGTATTCTCGGTGTTTTTTGAATTTTTCTTATAATTAGGATGCGCATCCAGATAATAGAATAAACTAATTATAGGATTGTAGAACTCGTGATTCTGCTTCTTTTATTGTATATCTCATGAATGTGCTCACTGTAGCTTCTTTGCAATTGGGTTCCAAAGACGAAAATTTGGTGCGTAAATTTTTATAAAAAACATATTTTTTGAGTCTAAAATTAAGAAAGTCCTTTCAAATTCCGTGGAACCCCGCGTGATTTTAGTTTTTTTACGTGCCGGATCTAATGAGCCCATCCATGTTCAATTCCGTCCAATAAAACGGCGGATATAGGTACCTTGAATGTGGGAAAAACTGCAAAAACTTATTTTGACAAATTCGCGTAAATAATCGCGGTTTTCTTCGAATTAATTTTACGTGCATTTATGCTTGTATTGTCAAATTCGCGAATCTGTGTTGAAATAGGTCAAAAATACATCGGTACGCGAATAATATGCGTATTTTATCCAAAATTGATTGTGGAGGCACATCCGCGGTTCTTAACCGATCCTTCTAAAATAGGTGTCCTTTTGCGTATTTTCATAGGAGATTACTAAAATCGGATGCGCATAAAAATCGTATGCACGTTGCGTGATTTTTAGCCATTTTTAGGGTTTTTGCATAGTAAAGTGCATCGAGTGGCACACTTCGACCGCTAAATTAAACATCGAAAAATTAATAATTATTGAAATACATTGATTCGGTTTATACGAAAATCACATGCGCATCAACTGATTTCAACTAATTCGCGAATTGCAAGCTTTTCAATATTGATCATTTTTATGTATTGTAAGTGCAATATATTTAGCCATTAATGACGTCGAAACTCTTATCAGATGAATCTGCCGATATTTAACAACCATCTAAAAGAATTTGCAGAAGAAAGCGTCGTATATTTTAGAAGATTAAAGAAAAACCGTATCCTCTTAACCATACTAAAAAATCGAAAATTCAAAAAAAAAATTTTGTGTTAATGCAAAAATTAATTTATTTTATTTTCCGATATCTTCATGTTTCTATTTGTTTTTCGCGACTATTAAACCGTATTTCAGTGTGATTTGACTAGTATGCAAAGAAAACAATGGTGTTTAAGCATTTGTAAAGAAATTCGCGAATTACAACGAATATGAATCCATTTAATTTATATTTGAAATACAAGATTTAAAACCGCTATAACTTTTGTGCGCAGCATCCGATTTTGTGAACGCGAACAGATTTCGAATCAGCATATTTTTCTTAACCTATGTACCAAAAATCATGAATGTGCTCGCAAAAAAATTTTTCAAATTTTTTTTAATGGAATTTTAAAAGAATTTTGTAATTTCCCATATGTCCTTGATCAGAATAAAATTCTATGTCGATTTAGCCATGACCGTTTAAGATAAAGCTCTAAAATTTTGCAGTCATTGCTAGTACTTCCAGAATGTTTGGTATCGATCAACGTTGTGGTATAGCCTCCACATAACTATACTCCCATTATTCTGTATTTTGTGGGTGTTGGATACGATTTTTAATCGAAGCGGTTCTAAGTAAATATTTAATGTATTTTGAACATATTTAATAAAATTATTAATATTGACCTAAGTTTCGGTACCCCATATAACAGTACTCTCATTATCCACTATGTTGGGCTTGTTTGACACGTTTCTCAACCGAAGTGGATGCAATTTGGCATTTTAAGTTCCTAATGCATAGTGAACCTCTACCCTAAAAATTATTGATATTGAATGTCTGTCGTTTGGTATTTATTTTTTACATGAAAGACCCGTTGATTTTAGGTATTCTAATATACATATAAAAAATTAGAAGATCCATGTTGGTAATATTTTTCCACAGAATCTTATATTTTGAGTTCATAATCCTCATACCAAAAATGTTTAATATTGACTCAATTTTTAAGGAAGCCTCCATATAGTGCTTTCTCCCAAGTTTCAGTATTTTATTAAGTTTAACAAGCAATTTGACTTTAATTTATTATTCCAACCGATCTGGCTCTAATTTTATATTATGGGATGTCAAACTTTCTACCTACAATTTACTAATGCCTTGGCCCTCACATGAAAAACAAGTCCTGCTCGGTCGAACTTATTGACATTTTATTTATCGATATGTTGATGGTTGTAGTCGCGATTAATCCAAGGTTTGATATAAAGGTCCCACCTTATTTTCGGTATATTTAAGCCACCGAAGTGGCTGTAATTTTGCTTTCCGACTTTTGAGAAAACTTGCACTTGCAAGGTCCTTAAAGTCACATAGTCAAAGTATAAAATCCCTGTCACATTTTCTGTATGGCATTAGCGGAATATTTTCTATGTATCTACTTTTTTTCTTTATACCAATATATTTTGTTATTGAATTTGGTATTTTGAGTTCTCATTGAATAACACATATTCATAGCAAAAAATTACTAATATTGACCCAAGTTCCATATGAAGGTCCTTACTTATTTTCGTTTTTGTGATATTTCGAGATTTTGGAGGATGAAAAACAAAGGTCCTATTCTATATTTGTCCACTCTTGGACATATTAGGGAACATTTTCTACCGAAGTTGCTGTAATTGGAATTCTCGAATCTTAGAGGGTAAAAACCTTGTTTACAGAAAATTTTCCATATAGATGTCCATGTTTTGAAATGAAGAACATTTTTGCAAAATTTTGTCAATATAGATTCATATTTTGACATGAACCAAATATAAAGTTCCCGTCTCATTTTTAGTATTTTGAAAGTTTTAACCGCACCCCAAAATGTTCAATATAAGTCCATATTTTCAAAAAAATCCACATATGAATGTTGCGCTTTATATTCTTTATGTAGATCTTCTTGTCTGTTTTCAACCTGAACGTCTGTAATCGTATTTAATTTTCTCAGAGTATAGTTAACCTACTAGAAGACAATGTACGATGACACAGCGCCCATAAATATTGTGAAGATTCAACATTTGCAATAACACATGAAGGGGTTAGAGAGTCTAACATTCTTCTTGTATATATAAATGTTTTTTTCCAAGAATAATTTTTTGCCCGTGGTATAATAATAGAAGATAACAGCAAGTGTTGTTGAATACGGGAGGACATTCAATAAAGAACAATTTCGAATTGTATGCGTTCCCAATTTTCCTGTTGGATGATTTTTAAAAACATAATTTGTCATATTCAAATTGACTCTACTATTACGTTGGAATCAAATCAGCTGGGTTTTGCTGTTACCTTTTATAACTGTACCATGTCCCTTGTTAAGCAATGATTTGTCAATCGAAACAATTTTATCATTTCATTATTAGGAGGCTTTGTTGGTTTGATATACTATAGTTTTTAGGAATTCATTAGCTACACAAATTTTTAGGTATTTTCAATTTCATAAAATTTGAATGCTTCCTTAATTGCATACCAAATTTGTACATGAAATGCTTTGAATTTGTTTTCCAAATTCTTCTTACATACGTAATTATATGTATGTATGTGTTACCCATTATTACGTATATGCCATTGTCACAATAACAACGTCTTTCGTTAACATTCAACGAAGTAACATATTTTATCAACTTTACTTTATAAGCACAACAATATATCTTGTTTGCCGATGTGCAAATTAATTTATTTAAATTGAAAACAATGAAAACGTGATGCATTTTTATAAATCTACAAAGTAGGATGTCCAGAATGAAACAAATATTACAAAAGAAATTCTTGTAAACTGAATTTGAACAGCATTTGCTAGGAAATGTTGCATAATCATTGCCTTACATACATATTTATAATTAATTGTACATCTCATCTATGTTAATACATAATACATAAATATTTATACTTTATTCTTATAACCATGACAATCCCAATTTTAAATTGGCTATTCTCAATCCAATTCAAAGCACGCATAAAATGCAAATGCATGACGAACCAACCCACAAACCAGCGAACCACAAAACCAAATGTCACTCGACATTTAACACTCATCAGTGAATTTCCAAGAAATTGGCCAAACGATGCATGCAACAAAGTGTGGCGGGAAACCATATACCCATTGTCCCTTTTTTGTGTGATTTTTCATCAACAACACACAGAACAGAAGTGCAAGTTCATGAACCCCCGGAACACTGATTGTTGCTGTAAAACGACGGATGAATTTCCGTTTTTTTCGTCACCACACAATGCATCTGACACTTGGCATGTATCATGATGCTTGGCTCCATCATTTAGATTTTTGACACATATGGCATTTACAACATGTTTCAAAAATTTCAAATTGAAGAAAAATATATTTTTTGTTATTAATCTGAACACCATGCGTCCGTTCAGCCATCTATTTATCCACCCAGACCGCCAGCCAGTTAGCTAGCTAACCAGTCAACCAGTCAGTCAGCCAGCCAGCACATGTCATGAATGTGTTAATTGATATTGATAATGTAATTTATTTGTATGATTGTGTCTCCGGGCCAGACGCGAGTGGTTTATCTAGATTTGATGACAATGATGGACATATTTTTAATGTGTTGGTAATTTTCAATCCGGATATACAAGAATTAAACAAATCTCATGTTGTTCTCATTACTTTCGTATTTTTTTTTTAATTTACTTATGTTATACATTTAATTAAATCTATTTTTTTATTTTTTAGGTTTAAAAGTTCTTCCTCTGTTAAATAATTTAAGGTAAGTAAAGCATTTCATTATATTATGTTATGGGAGAGAACATAAAGTAAGATTTATTATAAATTAAAAAAATGAGTGCAAAATTAATTAAGTTCGGCAGGCCGGACTTCTTATATCATCCACCACATTTCAAAACCGGTAAGGAAAGTAGTATAGTCGGACTGTGCCGACTATATGATGCCCTTTGGGTACATTCGAAGGAACATTGTCATGAAATTGAACTAACTTAATTATGAAGCTAAGCTATATCTGAATGTGAATCGATTTGCACGATTTGCAGTACCCTATGCCAAATTTCGTGCAAATATAAATATATATAGGGACTTTGGTGCACCAATTACATTAAATCGGACGAAAATATATATATATGTAGCTCTATCTAAATCTGACCCGATTTTTTCGAAACTTGATACACGTCATTATAGACTCAAACCAGTACGATATGCAAAATTTCGTGCAAATCGAAAGATATATAGAGACTTTGGTGCACCATTTACATAAAATCGGACGGAAATATATATGGGAGCTATATCTATATCTGAACCGATTTTAACGAAACTTAGCACACATAATGCTGGACCTAATTTATTACACTATGCAAAATTTCGTGCAAATCAAAAGATATATAGGGACTTTAGTGCACCATTTACATAAAATCGGGCGAAGATATATATGGGAGCTATATCTAAATATGGACCGATTTTCTCGAAACCTATCACACATCTTTCTGAACCCAATTCAGTACCCGGTACAAAATTTCGTGCAAATCGAAAGATAAATAGGGACTTTGGCGCACCATTTACCTTAAATCGGACGAAAATATATATGGGGGCTATATCTAAATCTGAACCGATTTTTCCCAATTACAATAGGGTTCGTCCTTGGGCCAAATAAGTGACTTGTGTCAAATTTCATACAAATCGGATTATAAATGCGACCTGTACTTTGTTTACAATTTAACATTTACAGACGGACGGGCGGACATGCATAAATCGACTCAGAAAGTGATTCTATGCATATTCTCAAAAGGGAACCATGGGTCTCTCTCGTTTCCTTTTGCCTGTTACAAACATATGCACAAAGACATAATACATACAATAAATATTTTTTGTAGCGATTTTTTTAAATCTCCAAAAATAACAAACAATTCGGACAATGCTACAAGGAACTTAAAATTTTCAAAAATTGTCTGAACCTATTCCCGCCAATTTATTATAACAATGTCTGTGCAAATTTTCAAAGCTCTATATTAAATATTGCGACATTTATTGTGATTTCAACATACAACAACAAAGCTAAATCGGAATTCCAACGAATATTTTGAGGTGTTACAAATTTCATATACACCAAATCTCATAGTAGAGGCTATAACAATTCCCATATTATGATTATAACTATCATATCAGGATTATAGCTCATGCAGTCTCTACAATATTTTCAAAATAAACCCAGTGAGCGGAGCAGTATAGTCGGACGGGGCCGACCATATGATACCCTACACAACTTCCACGAAAGTCTAACTTTGTGTGGTTCTATATTCTGATCTTGAGCAATATTTGCACTCTCTTGACCTTCACTCTGGGTTGTGTTGTTATGTTCGGATTCCAATATTATTATCTGATCACCACCGAAAATTACAGGCGTTGTCCTTGACCATACCTGGATCCTCATGGAAAATTTCAAAGCGTTCAGCGCTATATTTTCGCTTTCTAGGGGGGTAATGGGTTACTAAATAATATTTGAATACGTAAGCACCTGTGAATATTTAAGTGTAACTCCCACATCCGAATACATACGACAACGTTATTGGTATCAATTTGAAGGCCAACCACTCCTCTTGGATATATTTTCAACTTCTTGGGTCTACATCCTTCAGGGGTAAATATATACGCTATAGATTACAAATTTTGTAATTTTTCACACAAAAGTCAGGGTCTATTTGACCCGCTATCCCGATCCCCATCTCCATGTAAAATTCACGATGTCTGGGTCATAATTGAAGCCTCTGGAGCGACCAGAAAATCAGACAAAAATAAAGTTTTTGGTCCATTTCACCCCTAAATATTAACCGATCTTTACCAAAAACAATAGGGGTCTTCATTGGCCAGAACCCATCCTACATCCAAAATTTCGTGAAGATTGGCCGATAACGGTGACCTGTATCGTGTTTACAAATTATAATGGACAGACGGACGGACGGACACACATGTCTAGATCGACTCAGCTAGTCGAGATATGACGATCGGGATACTTAAAGGTGGGTCTAGGACCAATATTTCGCGGCGTTACAAACTCTTGGGGCTGCACAAAGCTATAATACCCTGACAACATAGTTGTGTAGGGTATAAAAACCCAATCAAAACCCAAATTGCTAAGTCTTCAAGTTATCAAACCGACGAATTGATCTGCAGGAGTCTAAATTTTCCACTTCAAATTTAAAACTTGTTATTTTTATGTGCTTCTCATTTGACGTATAAATTTCAATTTGATTCACGTTTAATTCTAATATATATCTTATCAAATGAATAGCATTAAAAATCGGATTATACTAATCCCATTATCATTATTATCAATATACATACAAACGATTTGATTTTTATAAACAAAACATTTGCATAATTGCCTGCAATTAGCTATTAATTAGCCACATTTCAGATATTATACAAGATTAAAGAAAAATTATCTTAATTCGATATTTTATCTTTCTATCTGGCATAGTTAACAAAAAACAAAACACCACATTCCTAACAAAATTTCGTATTTGAAGCCCTTCATTGACCTCAGCTAGCAATAAAACTGTCATAACTTAACCTTTGTTGTATATCATCATTGTATGGTGAATGCATGTATGAATGTACGTCCGTGCTTTTCGGTGACGTCGTATATCAATGTAGATATTTATGAAAATCAAAAATGCATAAATTTTCATCAGTCGAAATTATTGTTGACAGCTATAATGTAAATAATTGCTACGGCCCTACAATGTAAGGCAGTCAACCAGCCAATCATCGTCAAGCGTGATTATGTTGCAAAGACATGTCAATGGAAAATGTAATACTTGAATTAATTATTCAAATTGATAAAAAAAAAATCTTTTCGATGAAATCGTGTACGACAGAAGGGTTTCCATATTATATCAGTATGAGAAATGAGTAGAAATAATTTTGTTGGAAACAAATGATATACATTTGTTTTAACTTTCAAAATGATTTTAATATTTTCAATCTATAATTAAATTTCAAACGTGAAAGAAAGTGTTTTTAAACTCGAGGGAAGGGAAGGTATCGCAATGTAAAACTAAAAAAACACAAAACTCATTCAATGAACCTTCCACTTAACCAAATACAAATACGTTCTCATACGACAATGACTAATAGAACCTTTAAGGTAAATATCCTTAAATCAATTTACTATTCCATACAAAATTTGCTGGATTTAATGGTTCTTATTTGCATCATTGCAAAAGTGTGAAATCCAATTTGCTGTTAGTTCTGGCTAACCAAAACTAAATTGCCATTTTAACGTGACCAAAATTAAAGTCAGTCTCTCTCACTCTCTGTCTTTTCTTGTCTTCAAAATTAAACGGTCAGAAGCATTCCATGATTGATGCCTTAAAGGTATTTCTCATATCAATTTAGCATACATGATTTCTTGTGTAAATCCTTATGACGATAACAATCAGCTACACATCAAACAACGACAGCAACAACAAATTGGTCTTCTAGTTGCATAAATTCGTCATATCTGAAGTTGGCCATACGTTTAGCAATTCTGTATGGACGCTTATGAAATTAGTGGGTGTGTATTTTGAATCCATTAATTTTAAATTGTTACAGATACGATAGCTTTGCAGTCTATAATTATGAAGTATGATAATATAGGTGGGATATTTAGGGGAAATAACACTGTACCATTGGGTATTTTTGCTGAGAGACTATAGGAACGATCCACCATTGACCAAATCCACCATTGACCAGATTTACACTCTGCTCCAAATCCTGGAAAAGACCTACGAAAAACACATAGACACACACCACCTATTCGTCGACTATAAACCGCATTCGACAGCCCTATCCGTTCAGAGGTATTTATAGCCATGTCTACTTCGGCATTCCTGCAAAATTAATACGACTATGCAGGATAATTTTAAGTGGCACAAGATCAGCAGTTAAAGTCCCTTCTATACCGAACGAGGATTCAAACAAGGTGACAGTTTGTAGTGTGATCTTTGCAACATCCTGCTGGAAAAGGTCATACGAGACGCAAAGGTGAACAGAAATGGCACTCTGTACACCAAACAACACATGTTAAATGAGATGTCTTTAATATCTTAAATTATGTTTATTATTGTCGTACAAACCTTTTATGGTCAAAAATAAAAATAATTATTTTTAAGTATCTCAATTATTTTTATTTTTATTAAAAACAAAGAATTTTCGACGTAAGCAATTTTTTAACATTTGTAAGCATAATAAAACTAGCATATGCCCGCTACTTCGTTAGTGAATGTAGGAATTATTTAAAAACCAATAGCGACCATAATTGATATTTTAGTACCTACGTTCTCTTATAGTACGTATTTCCCAAACTACCACCATATCTCAGCACTACACACCAATTATGACCGCAACAGAGATCTAGCTATATACTAAATTTTGTAGCATTTATTACCCATTGTAATTATACCCTACACAACTATGTTGTCAGGGTATTATAGCTTTGTGCAGCCCCAAATGTTTGTAACGCCGCGAAATATTGGTCCTAGACCCACCTTTAAGTATACCGAACGTCATATCTCAACTAGCTGAGTCGATCTAGACATGTGTGTCCGTCCGTCTGTCTGTCTATTATAATTTGTAAACACGATACAGGCCACAGTTATGGACCAATCTTCACGAAATTTTGCATGTAGAATGGGTTCTGGCCAATGAAGACCCCTATTGTTTTTGATAAAGATCGGTTAATATTTAGTGGATGAAATGGACCAAAAACTTTATTTT